AGCAAGAAAAAAAAAGAAAAAATTGAACTAATTGAAGCACATTCCTTTTAATTACATGATAATTCGTGGTTTTTTTTTAACCTAGTAAATCGAAACTCAAATACTGTATGAGAATCAAAAAAAAAAAGAAAAAAAAACCTGATGGGAAAAAAAAAACACACTAATTTAATTATTCTTGAGGTTCTTTCCACCATGATCTAAGACACATAGCTGATCACACTGTTTTTTCATTCAATTGGTTTTGTTTATTAGTAATCATATCACCACCAATACTAAATGCCTGTTCACTAGGAATGCTTGTTCCTGGGATTGGAAGACAGTCTCTTGCGAATTTTGAAAGAGCAGGATAATTCATCTACTTTGACTGCCACCATTCTAATACATCAATATTTGAATCTATGCATGGCATCATTAAGTAGGTATCTAATTCATTCTGATGATCTATACGTACTGACTGATATATCTGTGACATTATTGTAGAACGTGTTGTAGTTCCATGCAATGTACTTTGATCAGAAAAAGATGCATACTCGTTTTCATACTTATTTTTAATGACATTTTTGATATCAGTAACGAGTTGTGATAGTAAGTCCAGTGATTCAAAATATTTAAACTTAAGTCGCGGGTCTAATACTACTGATGCAAAATGTAATATATTCGTTTTACTACAATAACTTGTAAGCTTTTTTTTTGCATCTTCGCACCCTTGAATAAGCCAAGATGGTGTATTAACTTTTCTTTTAGCATTTTCAAGCACCCCAATCAATGTATAATAAAAAGGAACAGTCATCGTTAAGGTTGGGTATTCTGACGCTGACATAAATGTTGTTGCATCCTTAAATGGTCGTAAGACCTCAACAAGAAGCTCAATTTTTGCCCATTCATCATCCTCGAGAACATACTGACATAAATTCACTTCACTAAGAGCTATAGTTTCCAATACAACCTTTAATGTAATAGCTCATTCACACATCTCGAGTGTAGAATTCCAGCGAGTAACAACGTCAAGAATTGGCTTTATTATCTTTATATTATGTATGAAGCAAGTAGTCTTTAATTTTTTACGACGCAAACGTGATTCCCGAATGCTTCTAATTAATTCTCATAATTTATTCAGTTCACTTCCTGCAACGCTTAATAAACTATGAATGGCAAGGTTTAAAATATGTGCGAAATATCTTATAGATTGTTGTCTATAATCAAAATGAAGACCCAACTGTTCTAGAGAATTAGAAAAATCTTGTATGAATTTAATATTAGAGGCAGCATTATCGTGTGTAATAGCTATAAGCTTTGGTATAATTCCCATCGACTGAAGGCACTCTTCCATATTATTTGTGATTTCAAAACCTAATAGGAATTGTAAAAGTCAATAAAAAAAATACTTAATAATTAACTATTAAATAATTTATTGATTAAATTTATTATATAAATACAATTAATCACTATTAACTATATTACATTTGATTATATACATTTGATTATATTACATTTAATTCTTTTTATAATTACTACCTAAATGTGGACTGTCTATATTTATAAAATCTAAGAGAATGCTTTTTAGCTTCCAAGAAGTATCCAAGTAATGAAGAATAACCACCATAAAGGATTTTTTATTGGTATTCGTTGTCCATATATCAGTCGTAACTGAAAATTTCCCAGGAATTCTCTGTAACTTCACTATAAGCTTGTGGCGTTCTTCTTCAAAGTCGTTCATAACATATCTTTTTATAGAATCTGCAGAGAGCGCATTTGCCTGAGGTTCTAAATATACAAATATTTCCTTGAGTTCATTATCTTCAACAATGCTGAATGGTCAATTGTATTTAACAATCCAACGTTTAATAAGATCTTTAAAAATGTTTAAATCAAAAGGTTCACTAGGATGATTATTAACAGTTTGCTGATTTTGAAGCATGTTGATAACAGAAACATTCGGCTTCTTCTTTTCTTTATCCAGTTCAGGTACCTTTCCTACATGTTTGGTGAGATGTTTTCTAAGGCTTGATGTTGATCCGTCAATACATTTTATTAATGTTTTTTTAGAGATACAAAGAGTACATCTTGCATAAGAAGTTTTTTTTTCCTTTACAAAATACTTCTATACAAAAGACCTAGTACATAGTTGTAATGGTTTGCCGGTTTCATTTATTTCCATAATATCATCATTAATACAAGAAGAATCCACAGATAAATCATCTATTTCATTATTGTCTATAAAAGAATAGCTTATACCATAATTGTTCTTTTCAAAGTTTTCCATAATAGCAAAAAAAAAAGAGAGATACAATTCAACGGTTTTTTAATAAACTCTTGCCTTAGTTTTAACAAGAACTGGTTCGAAAAATTAGAGCTGTTTTTTTTTTTTTGAATTGTGTAGTGTAAAAGTAAGTTCTAGACTAGAAGTAATGTCTTAGAAAAATTTTTTCCATGTATTGTTTATTATCGTATTGTTTGTCATCGTATTGTTTGTTATCGTATTGTTTATTATCGTATTGTTCATCATCATCATATAGATCTCTAACACTAACATTTTATATTCATTGAAGGCAGGTGATTAAACATGCGAGTCTATGCGGGTCCTATCGGGTACCCGTTATTACAAACCCGAATCGGTCAGTTCTGAAAAATTGTAAACTCGAACTCGAACCACTGAGTCGATTCCGGTTCGAGTCCGGGTTTTGGTCTGAGTCTGCGGAACACTAACATTTACTCTACCCTTAATTGATGATTCTCTAGTCAACTAAAGAATGATCATAGTAAAATATGACTCAGATTACTATATAAATTTACTATAGTGTAAATATGGTGATCTCCCAAGGTAAACTTTTTTTCATACTAAGTTAATCACCTTTCTTGCTTAAGAGACTTTTGTAAAGCTTGTTAAAACGCATCTAATGGTAGTTAGAACGTTAAAATCGGCATGGTGAGTGCTGATATATCTTTAAAAAACCTCTCTTTTACTATGTAAATTTCTTTGCAAACAATATACAGTCAACTCTCTCTTAACCAAACCTCTCTAAACCAAACTCTCTCTTAACCGAACTAAAAACTCTAAGACATTTATAAATTTTATTATAAAGTTCAGATAAGCTTATAATACCTTTTTGAAAAAACTGAACTAAAAACCCAAGAACAGGCTATTCGGATAAGAAAGAGTTGACTGTACTATTAGATGCGTTTTGACAAGCTTTACAAAAGTCTCTTAAGCAAGAAAGGTGATTAACTTAGTATAAAAAAAGTTTAC